TTATTTTACAATTTTCTTACATAATCTGGTTTCAGGGCATTTTGGGATTTTCCTTTCGGGAAATAAACTCCAACCTTGACATGGTCACTTAGAAAACGTGATTTTAGGGGAGTTTCTTCTTTTCATTTTTCCAGAAAATGTTGTCTTGGTACCGAAAATCCCGTGCAAAGTTCAGTTTTTTGTTAAGCTTATAGCAACTTTCTAAACCTCTTGCCCTTTTCTGATCTAGGGGCATTCTAGATATTTTAAAGTGTATTTTTTTCATTTTTGTCTACATTGGTGGGTAGAAAACCTGATTTTAGGGGGGGTTTCTTCTTTGTGTTTTTACAAAAAAAATCGTTTTGGTGCCGAAAATAACTTGCAGATCTGGAAATCTGGTCCGTTTCAGGTTTTTCCTGGAAAAGTTCTGATTTAAGGGGCATTTCGGGTATTTTACATGAAAAATAAAAACTTCTCTTGACATGGTCATGTAGAAAACATGATTTGGGGAGGGAGGGGATTTCTTCACAACTTTTTGCCAAAAAATGTCATTTAAGTCCTTAAAACCCCATTTGAATTCTTAAAATCTATGCAGGCCCTGCACATGCTTGAAACTCAGAAAGTCTATTTTATTGGAACTTTGACGTTTCATATCTTCTTCGTCCTGACTCCAAATCAATTGATTTTTGAGTCTATGTTTATTAATTTTTGCTTGTCTATCCAACGGTATGCACAGTTGCTTCCAATTCTATCTGAAAATACCATTTTACCCCTTGTCAAGTACCCTTGCCGCATTGATTTGAAACCCAAAAGTCTAATTTTTTGAAACTTTGAGGCTTCATATATTCTTCTTCTGGACTCCAAATCAAGTGATTTTTAAGTCTAAGTTTATTAATGTTTGCTTGTCTATGTAATGGTATGCACGGTTACATCCAATTCTATCTAAAATGACCATTTTAACCTCATCAAGTACCCTTGCTGCATTGATTTGAAACCCAAAAGTCAAATTTTTTTTTAACTTTGACGTCTCATATCTTCTTCATCCGGACTCCGAATTAAGTGATTCTTGAGTCTAGATTTATTAATTTTTCCTTGTCTATCTAATGGTATGCTTGGTTGCGTCCAGTTTTGTTTAGAAAGACCATTTTACCCCTAGTCAAGTACAATCCCATGTTATAAATCTTAGCTTCCGCATTTGATTCTTTTGAGTTCCGTGACTTCATGGAAGGTCAACTTGGCATCTTAGGAATGTCGTATGTCCCTAGAGATCTTGTTTCTATTTTTACTTCCGCATTCTGGATTCGTTTCGGGTCATCGGGTCTTCACAGGACGCACTAACTTGAAAAATTAGGGCCGCCACATTGGCGGTGGTAGAGAAAGGGGACCAAGCGAGTGGTTGGCGGTGGTAGTGGCGGTACTGGTGGTGATGGTTTGCCAGATAAAAATTGTGGGGGTGGATGGTGAGGGTGACATTTATATATACTAGATGAATCAATGTGCATTGCACGTAGTGTAAAATATCTGTATTTTTTTTTTACATATATATTGAATTAATTTTATGTAAATTGTATACTTTAACTTTAAAAATATTATTAAACAGCTTTTTTTTTAAAAAAATAAAAAAAATAAAAAAAAATTCCAATCGTTCTTTTGAGACTATGCCCTCGTAAAAGGCCTTATCAACAATCTCGATAGTCGACACCATTTTGGATCATCGAGCTCAACCTCACACAATAGATCAAATGAAGTGGCCACTGACCTTGAGATTGGCCCAAGTTGAAAATGGTTGGGCGGACAATGAATTTGGTTTATTTCGATGAATAAACCAAAATACTTTGTACACGTGTATTTCGATAAATGTATATACTTTTTGCAATTATAAATGCGTAAAGTAATTAATTTCTAATCATTTTAATTGATCATAACATCTAGCAAAATTCTCTTTGCACACATACTGTTTAAAAAACATACCAATAAATTAAATTTTAGAGACCATCCGTTATAATTTGGTTTCGAAACAATTGAAATATGTCCTAAATAGGTGAATATGGAAAAGAGTAGTAGATTTTTCTAAGAATAAATAGACATAAGAGAGTAAAAATCCTTGATGAAGGGAAATAAATAGAGTCAATGTTGCTATTTATTATTTACAAATAACAACTTATAATTATGATCTAATTTTAGTGTTTCTAAATGTCTATTTTGTTTTATTTTTTTTTAGTATGAAATATTGTACAAGAGGTGCTTGAATTTAAAATGTAACTGTTCCATTTTACATTGTTTCACATGAGTGAATAGTTACAACAAATGTAAAATTAATCATTAACTTAAGCCACAACCATCACTTTAAATTTTTAGGGTAAGAAATTTATGAAAATTATAATTTATTAACATTTTATGATAATGAATTTCAATGCATCTACTATCAAACTACATAAACACAATTGTTAAAACAAGTGTTTAAATTGAAAAAGGTCTCTAACTCATAAATCTTCATATGTAAAATAACTAAAATTACAATTTAAACACTAATAAAGTACTCAAACACTAAATGGACTATTTAGATAGAGAAAAGTGACTTTTAAAAATTCAATTACTTTTGTGATGAGTCATCTCTTTTAGAAATTAAAAAATAGATTTTTGGATGAGTCTAATTTTTTGGAATTGATTTACAAAATGAGAAAGGAACTTAGAGCATTAGAGATTTTATAAATCATGAATACAAAGAATGTGTATCAAATACCGCAAATATAATAATTTAATCTATGCAATTTTGAGAAGTGCAACAAAGTACAATTGTAAAGGAATATAATTCAGTAGAATCAAATTTGGTGGTCAAGAACATATATAATTTTTAGATTAATTCAAAAAGTACTACCAAAGTGTGGCACTTCATTCACAAGCATACCTTTCCAAAAAATAGGATTTAGGATTTTAAGATTTGATTTGATGCACACAAACCAAAGATGTGTGTCCTGTAAAATGGTTCTAAGTTGTTCTTATGGGTAGAATTTTTTTGCTATGTAGAGATAAAAAGTGCAAGAGAAATGAAAGAAATTAAGATAAGACTGATGTTGGCAATTTGAATGTATTGCGTTGTACCCGTTTTATATATAGTTGAAACGAAACTTTAATTTCTCGTACCATTTGAAAAAGAATTAGCATTAAACGGTTGGGATCATGGACACGCCGAAAGAATTGTGGAAATCAAGAGACTCTTTTAGATTTGAAACTCTTTTAAGATTGTTTTGGAGTGATGCAACTTTTTGGTAATATAACTCTGATAAGTAACCAAAAGTTAAGTGAATTAATTAAGACACCTATTTTAATAAAACATGAAAAGTCACGCTGAAATCCTAGAAGGTGTAACGGTTATGAATAAAAAAGATTTCTCACAATATCTTAGTTGGCAATATAAGAAACTCTTCGTGAATGAAAGCAACTTATAATATATAAACTGAGTAACTTAAAAGGTGTGATGTTTAGGAATATAAAATCGTAAATTGAAACCTAACAAGTCACATGATGATATATTTTTAATTAAATTAAGTGTTTTAAAATGTATATAAAAATTAGAAATTGAATACACTTTTATAAAGTATATAGATGTGTGCCCGCGCGCGTGTATATATATCAGATTCTCAATTCCAATTTGCATAAGTTCATTTTTCAGAGTTTTTGTACCTGAGTGGTGTTGGTTCATGGGTTGTGGTCTAGCCTTTCAGTTAATTTTTTATTATTATATATTTATTTATTTATTATTATTATTATTATTTTTGCATTGGTGGTCCTTTTGATTACTTGGAAGGTGGTATGGTGGTCGAGGCGTGACGGTGGTGGGGGTGATTCACCAGAGAGGATGATGGTGTTTGTCAAATACAAAATTATTAGTGTAAAATTGTCACAAACACAAAATTATAAGTGTAAAATTGTCGTATTTGTAATACATTTTGTAAAAGTGGTTTTATACATTCATTCTTTTTTAATACAGCCGTATTTGTAATGAATAAAAAATAACTTGTCATTTATTAAATTTTCCATATATATATATATAAACCTGAAATAATAGCATATAACTGAAAACCTCAAGGGTAAATCTTAGTTCTGCATTGGTGCTAGGATGGCATGAGCAGAAAATTTGGAGTGTGGTGGAGGCATTTTTGTCAAGTGAATAATGTTTTTTGGTTTAATTGATAACTAGTTTTGAAGGTATGCCAAATTTTGTAACTATTCTCCTTTTGTAGTTAAATAACTAAAACACCAGAGCATGTCTCTAGGCCTAAATTCCAAAATCCCGTGACTTATAGAATATATATGTAGAGAGAGACAAGAACACATGCATTCTGACAATATATATATATATATATATATATATATATATATATATATATATGTGCAAGTTAGAATGGCATGAATAAATAAATTGAGTGATATGGAGGATTTTTTGTCATGTGAACAGTTATTTTCTTGTTAATTGGTAGGGTAACTAGTTTCAAGGTGTACCAAAACTTGCAACCATTTACTTTTGTTGTTAAATAACTGAAATACAGTGACCTAAATTTCAGATCCCGTGACTTGCATAATATATATATATATAGAGAGAGAGAGAGGGGGGTAGAGAGAGAAGAACACGTGCATTCTGGAAGGTAAAAAGAAAATATTGAAATAAGAGAAAAGGAAATACAAGAGACGAAACAAAAGCACCTTGCAGTTCTGCAAGATCAAGAATAGTACTAGGCTACTAGCGGACTGAGAAAAGAGAATCTAGGGTAAAACTATAAGGAATATTTTCAAGCTCTGTTAGAGCAATATTGTTGTATGCCCGTTTGCTTATTTTTCGAAAAACAAAGAAGAAGGAATAAAATAAAAATAAAAATAAAAATAAACTATTAATCCAAGGAGTTTTTAAAATCTATTAAAAGTCAAATAAAGCTTTAATAAATTTATCAAATAAATAGTCAACAAAAAAGCGTGTGACTTTTGTTATAAGATAGAAAAGAAAATATCAAATTATTACATAATTTGGGTTAATCACGACATGATATTCAAATAAATATAAAAATAAAGTTAAAAAATTTATTTGTGTCATGGTAGTCCGAAACATGTAATAATTTTTCAATTTGAACTCCAATTACTACTCTACTTTTTAACAGAAAAACTGTGCAATGTTTACGCAAACATGTCACTAGCTTACATACATACCTGTACTTTCTTGTTGCTTTTCTCTCACTGGCTTAATTAGTTCATCTTTCTTCATTGATAGTTCCCATCTCCAAAGCATTGTCTTTTGGGCGCAGCTTTTCTTTCTGAATCCAATGAGCTCAAATCAATCCCATGTTGCTGCTGCTGCTGCTGATTATGTCTCTGTGAATACCCACTCCCACTCATGCTTCTCACTATCTCTCCAACCCCAAGAAAGTCTCTAGTCAGCCCATCTGACCCTCCAACCTTAGGTTGGTCCATGTTGCGAAAACTTGGACTATGGTTGTTTTGTGATGATTGCTCCAAACTCAGTCCACCATATGCATTGACATTCACCCCTCCAGACCCACCTGCAAAAATGTTGGAACCAGTACCACCAGCAAGAGAATTCATCAGATTATTGATATTACTTTCGTGGTTGTCGCCAAACAAGCCACTAAAGTTCGCGGCAAGGGGAGGTCTATCGGATTTCGTGCCAGCCGTGGAAGAGCTTCCGAAGTCTCTCAGCATCTGGGAGGCACTGTTTTTGCTTGTGGTTGAACCAATTTGAGCTGCCTTCTGAAGCAATGCAGTCGCGGACATATGGGAGGACGCAACGTTGTTGGTTTGATTAACGGACGAATTATAGGCATGACTACCCAATATGTTTCTGGAGAATAGCAGATTAGACCCTTCACCAGCAGTGGCAACAGAAGCATGTGCATTGTTGAAATGATTCGAAAATAAAAACCCCGACGACATGCTTTCGTTGTTGTTGTTGCTCTTATCAATGTTGCTAGTATTAGTGTTGTTGTCAAAGAAGCTGAGACTGAACATATTGGCATGAGCAGAGGAAGGGTTGTTTGTGTTGTTTTGAAGATCCGAAAGCTGAATTAGTCCATGGAATGGTGGCTTGTTTGTCAATAACCCATGTTGAGGCTGATTGTCTTGATCATGGTAGTTTTGGCTTGACTCTGGCATGAAGAAAGCAGAAGAGGGCATGGATTGAATAGGCCGGAATGCAGAACCGACGTTGGGTGCAAGTACATTGTCGAATTGTCCGGTCCGGGCACCTTCTAGTCGTAATAAATCATTAGATGGTTGGTTCTGATCTTGTAATGAAGAGAGTTGAGAACCCACATGAGATAGGCCTAAGCTCATGTTGCTGCTTCCATGTAAATGGCTACCAATGATGCTGAAGGTGGGTGGTTGTCTTGCACTCTCTTGAGCCAATGCATCACAGAAAGCCCTATGAGTGATGAAACTGTCTCTCCTGGAACAATTATTGTGAAAAGAAAGCCATTAGATCACATCTGATGACAGTAGTAAAAAGGACATATACAGTAAAAAGTTGGGTTAAAAATTCTATGAACGTGAACTACATGTATTCTCTATTTAAATCTAGTTTATGAAGCCTAAATTACCAATGAGATCATAACCACATTCAATAGTATAAGTTATTCTAGGTTTATAATATATGTTTCTATGATTAAGTTTAAATGTAACTTAGAAGTGGGATAATAGAATGTCAATGTTATTGTGGTCCCACTATAAATAAAGGATGTGCACATTTTGAAAAATAAAACAAGCCACTCAATTCATATGAATAATCCAAACATGGCATTGACAAATGAAGAGACTCGAGTGGAAAATTAGGGTTACAGTTCACTGCTATAAGAGAGGTAACAAAAGATGGGTTTTTTTTTGTAATAGCACAGAATGAAATAAAATGAAATATGGATCACTATTTGGTTCAATAATAGTCAGCAATAATTTGAAGAGAGAAGGCTTGATTTTTTGTGCAACACTGTTGAATAGCTGAATATTTAAGGAAGCTATAGTAGGTAGAGAGAATTTGCAGATTTTGTATGAAACGACTAAAATTGCCCAATAAGACAAAGATAATTTAGGGAAGTAGGTGAAAGAATTTTTACAAACTTCAAAAATGATGATTGATCAATCAACCAAGACTTTATACCACTTCTAAACCTGACTATTAAATAAATGCAACATACGAATTTATTCATTCTGATGAAAAGAAATCAATCAATAAGCCAATTCCTAGCTAGGGTTCAATTAATTAAAGCACAGCCCATCAACAACTATCTGATTTTTTCAGTCTATAAAAATATTACACCAGAAATAAATAATTGTTTGAAAAACCAATAATTATATTTTGAAGAGAACACATTTTTAACTCTATACAAAATTAATTAATTTGATCCCAAAAAAATTTAATAAAAATAATTTTCAAGTACACACATATGACTGCTTTTCTGTATATGTCAAGAACACAACTTCAAAACTGCATTAACCAAAAAAAAAAACACTTCAAACTGCAACCATGGTAAAAACAGACCATCAAATAATTGAGAGAGAGAGAGAGAGAGAGAAAGTGTGTTGTCTTCTTAACCTGACTTCCTAAAGTTATCATGAAAAAGGGTACCTGCAAGAGCACAGGCCTTATCACATCTAGCCAACCCATAAAAGAACAAAACTGGTAACGATTACAATTTAACATCGCATAACACCACGTGAATAGGAAGACAGAGATAAAAGGAGAACGAAAATGGCGGTGTTTCCAAGGAGAGAGAAATATACAATGTTTTTTCTTTGTTTTTTTTGAAACCTCTCTTCTCTATACGGCCATACCAGTTTTCCAGAGATTATTCACGTGTAACCATTTTTCAGCTATATATTACCCATGAACACACTGTACCAGCTAGCAAACTAAAATCCAAATTAACCCACAACAAAAACAAAAACAAAACAAAATTCCAAGAGAGAGAGTGTGTGTGTGTGTTTGTGTGAGAGAGAGAAATTTAGTATGAAAATCCGTAACCTAAAGAAGAAACTCTTACTTACTACTGTCACTTGAGGGATCTAAGCCCTAAGACAAAGAAGCCATCTTTATATATGTCTCTCTTAAAAAATTAGAGACAACAAACAATAATAAATTCAAAACTCAACAAATTAAAGCATAAAATTCAATAATTGATATGAGAAAAGTAAGGAAGAAAAAAAAAAGGGGTAAAATAAAATAAATTTAATTGTACAATATTTAACATACCTTGAGAAAAGAGTGCCACAGTCACATCTATACTCTCTAGTACCACAAGTCTTGGAATGGGCTTTCCAATCAGATTGAACAGCATATTTCTTGGAGCACTTCTCACACTTGTATTTCTTCTCACCATGTTTTCTAGAGTAGTGTTTCTTGATGCCGGTGAGGTCGCCGAGAGCTCTCGAAGGGTCGTGATGGACACATGAGGGCTCAGGACACAGATAAACCTTTTTCTTCACTTCTTTTGTAGTCTTCTGCCTTAGCTTCCAAGGTAGGTTGTGTCCTCTTCTGTGGAGCTGTAGGTTTTGCTCCCTTTGGAACCCTTTGTTGCATACCTCACATACAAACCTGTTTGTAGCCATTAGACTCTTGGGAGATAGTGCTATAACCTCTGCATCCGGATCTGTTATAGATATATATATATACACACACACATACATACATATAGCCAAACAACAGAATATTAAAATCATAATCATTGCAAACACCTAGCTATCTAATTGAAAGAAAAAGACTTTTGATAAGAATCAAATTAACCCATCTCAATACCTCTAATTTCAACTTCCAAAATTAGGGTTTCCGGGGATATTTATTTTTCTAAAAAAAGAAATAAATAAATTAATTAAGATATATATATATATATATATATATATGTCTGTATATGTATGTGTGTGTGTTTGTGTGCAATTAATATACATCTATATCTAAATTCTTTGATGGCTTATATATATATGTATACACAATACACACACACACACACACACACATGACAGACAGATCTTCGATAAAACTTTGTGATACTTGCTTGGTGTTCCAGGTTGATTTCTTCTCTTCTTCTGTGGTGCTTGTGTGGTTGAAGTTGGTATTGAGGAATGCTGTTGTTTCATCTGGTTTTCATCTTCTTCTGTCATTCCGAAGAAGGCCATCGACGAAGAAGAAGATGCCGCCATCTTCGAGCTTCTTTTGCTCTTTCTCTTCACACAAACCAATTAATCTACAATCTGAAACTCACTGAAATCTCACATGCAATCTAAAAATTCTGCTCTTAACCTTATCCCCAAACCCTTTATCATGAATAAAGAAATCTAAAAGGCATATATCTGAAAAGGAAGTTGAAATGAAGGGAATTAGAGAGGGGAAAAGAATCAACCGATAGACATTTGTTGTTTTTCTCTACTGAGTCTCTTGTTTATAAGTGAAAATTTTTTGGGGGAAAAACAAAAAGAAAAGGGGTGTTGCTATTCCTCTAGTTCTTCAATGATTTGGTGTCATGCAGATAAACAAACACATATACAAGGGACTTTTTCTTCCTTTTTTTCTCTTTTTATTTTCTCCCCAATTTTCCTTTTCTCCACATTGGAAATTCTGATTAATATCCCTCAATCCTTTCAAATACAAAATGAAAATATGAGAGAGAAAGCGATAGAGAGAGAGCTGGTGGTGGTGTTGGTCATACTGCCCCCACGCACCCAAGTGTGTCCATATGCGGCGATGGATAGGGTCCACCGACCTGTAGAGACCTTACCCTCTCCTCTCTCTCCTCTCTCTCACACACACAAACACACACATTCATTTCGTATCTTCTTATTCACTTCCAGACAAAATCTCCTTCATCACCTCTTACCTGGCCCTCACAGTAAAGAATTATTCTAAATATTATAATATAATTAGTCAATATAATTTAATACAATAAATTGACCTATATTATTATATATGTAGATGTATATATATATATATATATATATATATATATTGGTGATTTATGGAATATATAGATATAGTAAACTCGTAACTGTCTGCCGGGTGAGTCCTAGTTGATGCTGTTGGCAGAAAATGAGGTTTGAATGTAATCTTACCGCTTTGAAGAACTTTACAAACAGTAGTAGTTGGTTGAAAAGCATATATATATAGAGAGAGGGATACTTTTGCCATTTCAAAAAGTAAGACACGCAATCATGAATGCATGACCCATCAAAAGACCTGATCCAACCACTAGGGATAAACACACACTGATTTTTAGACACAGGTGGGTAACTAGAGCTTAGACAAGGAAGTGCGGATAGTTGTTGTCTTTGACTGTATTGGACATGTATTGTGGAATAGTATTATTTTCGTTTCTTATTAGTTGTTTATTTTTTATTTTTTATTTTATAACTTTTTAAGGGGACATGTAATTAATGCATTGTCCCTTTTAAAAATTATTAAATTATTTTTTTTAATTTAAATATATATAGTTATAAAATTTGAAATTTTTTAAAAAGATAAAGGATAATGATGAAAATATAAAGAAAAAATGTTTTGACTTTTTAAAGAGGACAACTAATTTGGGATATGTGCAAAGAGAAAAATGGACTATTAATATAGGTAGAGAAGTGCTAAAGAAACTTTTTATTTTGAGAAAATTTTACTCACCTCCCTTAAGATTGTTAATATAGCTACATATACCTACATAAACTCCTCTAATTTTTATTTTTAGACTTCCTCACCCTTTTATTTTTTGACTTCCTCACCTTCTTCAAACTCTTCCTTTACTTACTCTCAAATCTCTCTCCTCACTAAGCCTAATATATAATTGGATTAAAGGGCAGAGCTAGCATGTGTCCAAGGGGACAACTGCTCCCTTCCCCATGCTGACAAGTTAGAATATATATATATTTTTTTTATATACATAAATTTGTGGAAAATGATAAAATGCCACCACCCCTAAAATTAATATAATGGCCCCTCTTGTAATGACTCGGTCATTTTCCTTCCTTTCTTTTTTCCTCAAATTTTACGGATAAATTTTTTCCGTTGTCTTTTCTTTTCTGAGTTCGGTTTTTCATCTCTTGGTGTCATCTTGAGTGCTCGGAAATGGTTTCCAATACTCTTTCATTTAGATTGATGACTTCCTTTGAGAATCGAGTCATTTTTACATTTTCACTTTTGTGACATTATTCACTTTTCATCTTTTTCTCGATTTTCACTTTGTTGGCATAACCTCACTTTTCGTGTTCGGATTTGATTCAAGTTTTGCATGCATCCACGATATTTAAATTCCATGCCATGTGTGTTTTTACTTTCCTAGAAATGCATGCCATTTGTTCACTTTCTTCCTTAGGGGTGTGGATGCACACTTTCTTTGGAAACTTATTGTTTTTGGGATTACTTGTGTAATTAAATAAAGTAATTATTTTTCGTCTTAGGGACGATTTTGTAATTTAATTTGAAATATATTTTTAAAAAGGCCCTTTTTGTAATTTTTGAAAAGTGTGACAAGTGTCACCCTCTCATTGGTCCACTTGTTGACATTTGTATGGAAACACTTTGATGCCTTGGATGATGACATGTGGAGGGTGGAGATTCACCCACTTGTTGGCTTAAGATAAGTGCACTTGTTAGCTTGGATGATTGACAAGTATAGGCTTGAGATTAAACCTAGGAAAGAGTCTTAGATTTGTGACAAGTGTAGGCTCACAATTTAGTCTTGCAATTATTTTTGGGCCACTTTGGAATTATGTTGTTAAGGAGGGTTTTTGTGCAATTGACCATAAATGTATGTGTTGACCATGGTGCAAGACCACTTAGTGAGTGGAGGATTTCTATTTCCTCCACTCACATTCTATCACACTTGATTTCATCATTTCCCTCTCTTGTAAAGAAAACCCTCTCTTGTAAAGAAAACCCTAGCCTCCATGGATGGAGCTTGAAACCTTAGGCCTTGACTTTGATTTTTGATGGCCTTCCACTCACCTTAGACCATAAAGCTTGGAACACTTTTTGTTCCCCTCATCCTCCTCTACATAACCCTTCAAGGGTTTGCCATTTTGTGTTGATTTGTGTAATACCCCGAAATTTTAAAGAATGTATTTAAATTAATTTTGTGTTAGGTTAATTAATTTTATTTATTTGTGCATACTACATTATTTTATTAAATTCATTTAATTGTGCATGTAAATTAATTGTGTATGTTAAAATAGTAAATTTATTCATTTAATTGTGCATGTATTATTTTAATTACTTTTATTTGTTGATTATGTTTAATTAAGCAATATTAGTTAATTAGAGTATTATATTTGTGTTATAAAGTATTATGATGATATAATATATTATTTTGTAATAACAATAATAATAATTATATTAGTTTAATAATAATAATAATAAGAATATAATAATAATAATAATAATAATAAAAGTTTATTAATAATAATATTAGTAATAATAATAATAATAGTTATAATAATAATAATAGTATTAAACCAAAGTCATGATGAAATTAGAGATTAGGATAGGATTGCATCAATGGTTATGGTTGGAATTGAAGCCATATGGTTGGGAGGATGGTTAGTTGATGAAAAAATAAGATATTTGTAATATTTATATTATATATTTTGTATATAAATTAACTAGCTTGCCTTAGAAGAAAATAAAAGGGAGTTAGAAGCAAAGTATAAATTCTAGAGAGCTATTTTATAAGAGTGAAAGGAAAAGAGAGAGAGAAAGAAGCTTGGACCGGTGTAGGCGATTTTACCCGACTACGCGCAGACCGGCGGATTTATTTTAAATCCAAAAAGGCAAGTTATTATCTACTTTTCCCCTTTGAATTAATAAATTAATTGTTTAGCTTATTTTTATGCATAGAGCCAAGGTTTGGAGGTTAATAAATTATTAATTTTATTTTATTAAATTAATGGAATTTTAATTATATAGGATGGTATATATTTATTTAATGTCCTATGAAATTAATAATGGCTAAAAATAATTAAATAAGACTTTAGGGATTTTTTTAGAATTTTCTAGATTTTTCCAGGCATTTTCTGCAATTTCCGGCGAGTTTTCCGGTCGCCGGCAGTGGGGGAGACGACCGGAGTGATCCGGTGCGACGCGGCGCACCATAGGAGGTGTACGCGCGCATCCTGGCCATTAGTGGAGTCTGATTGATCCGGTGCATCGCGGTCCATGATACCGCGGTACACCCGGATCCGTGGACGTTGGATGGAGGAGATGTAGGTGGATTGATCCGGTGTGGCGCGCACGTAGGAAATCTGATGCAACCGACCAACCAGCACACGCCGCGTCAGCAAGGCACCCCTAGTGCGCGCGTGGCAGCGCGTGCGCGCGCGTGGGACTCTCCAGACGCGCGTGGGAGCGCGTGGCTGATTCCAGACGCGCGTGGAGGCGCGTGGGAGAGTGGGGAAGGTTGGGCTGCGCGTGGGGAGGCTCTGGGAGGCGCGTGAGGGCGCGTGTGGGGTCCCTACAGCTGCTGGAAATTACCAGAATACCCCTAGGGCCTGTTTTGTAAATTCCAGAACCTTAAACTTGGATTTTTAGGTACTGTGTTGGTAATTACGGGTTTAACGGGTCACGAAATTATTATTTTAACACCCATTACTTATTCTTATGGCCGATTAATCTTTTCTAAGCATTTATTGGCTCGTTCGCAGTACGGATACTAATGTGATTTATTTAACGACATTGTTAAATATAAATAGTGTTATTATCGTATTTAATGGTATCAAACATTACTGTTAAATTAAATAAGGCCATGGTTTTAGTCAGATAAATTATCCATGATATCTTATAGGATGTTTATACTGTTAATTGATATATAAACCATGATTATTATGCTGTGTGCATTTCAGGAAATAAATGGACTGTTTAATTATGTCGCATTTATATTATATGGATGTGTTGCCATATAGAACCATATGAGCTGGCTAATAAGTTTAGACTCATTTATACCTTATGCATTCGTTGCGATAGACAGATGTGTGGCTGTCGGGGTATGTGGTTTAATATTATTGGCATGTGTTGCCTAATTGACATACTCGGTATATTTATTAATATTATTGGCATGTGTTGCCTAAATTGACATTCTCGGTACATTTATTAATATTGTTGGCATGTGTTGCCTAATTTATATGCTCAGTATATTCATCAGTACTTTGCGAGGTGTTATCACTGTGTAGTTCGTTATAGTCTGTGTTGTCAGTACCGTACACCATGTATAATAGCTGATTTCCCGGGTAGGGAAAGGCGACACTTGACCACCTAGTGTGAGTCTAAGTGATCACCGTCTATTCTGGTTGAGGTCATGTTATACATCGGATAGTTCCCGTAGGATGTATACAGATATAGTACTCAACCGATTCATAATGATTAATTTATTTGATTCTCTGATTTGGGTCATAGTAGAGAGGACTTGCTCGTGGGGTTGACCCACCATTGTTGTTATTTCAGGATACGGTCAGTATCCGTTTCAAGGCTGAGGTTAGCAGTGTGGGACCATCATCCGAACTCATCTACTCTTACGATCCAGTGCAGGGTAGAAGTTTTATGTAATACTTCCGTTTCAGTTTTTATTTACTTTTGACGTTGAACTCTCAGGGTTATATTTAGGGATCCCTGACGTAGGAT